ATATATAATTATATACATATATATTTTATATATTTATTTTTTAAAACGGGTGACGGGGCGGGGAATGGGGCGGGGGTACACTCCCACGCCCTCCCGCCCCGTTTCTAAGCGGGGGGAAAAAAATTCCCCACATCCCCGCCCCACCCCCTGCCCCAACCCCCTCCCCATTAGCCCCCCGCGGGGCGGGTGCGCGCGGTTACTCGCCCCCATTGCCATCCCTAGTCACGCCACACACCATGTTTAATTATCGATTCCCTACTATTAATTGTTATAATTATTTATTTACCTATTTTTATTTGGGTTCCTTTTTTTGTTGCCAAATAAATCACATTTAATTACCAAATTTTTACAATAAATTGTTAGTAACTAGTAAATAATACCATTTTTTTGTTACTGTCATTTTTTGTTACCCAACGCATCACATTTAATTCATAACTTTTTTGCAATTAGTAGCAATTTTTTTTTGTCCTTGTCAAAAAAAGCACATCTATTTACCTTTTTTTCCAAACTTCATTAACAAAATGTCCTCTTTTGTTTTGGGTTGTCCAACAAATGAAGTTTAATTATCAGCTTTTTTCAATTAATTTTTTATTAATCCTGTTCTAATTTCGCAATTTTATTGCCAGATAAATCACATTTAATTACTGCCTTTTATAGTTATTAATACTTTTTGTTACCCAAAAAAATGCATTTAATTACCAATTCTATGTAGTTATTAGCCAAGAAATATGCTTGTCTTATTCTTTCCTTTCCTTACTTTTCCTGTCGTAACCAAACTTCTTATTGCTAATGTGATTTGACTAATTTTTACAAACAAGCCTGCATTTTATTTGTTTAGTTCCAAAGCATGCTTTCTCGACTTCTTCATTAGGCATTACTTGTCACCAGCCTGTTTTTGCCGACATGTGACTGTACTTGAGCTAATTAGTGCCTATCTTATTTGACTATATTACCCATCCCTTGTGGCTACATTTACGCTTCCACTCAATAGGCCTTGTAGCCTTTTTCCCTTTACTTGAGGTTATGCCTGTAAATTTGCAAAAAATCGTCATTTTTCACCATTGTCGAGCATCAGCTTCCTTTTGCTGCCGTTGATTGACATTGTTTAGTGTTTTGCATTTGCACAATGGTTACAGGGTTTCTCTGGTTTTCCCCAGCGGATTTTCTACTGAGCATCATCATGAACAATGGTAATTGTGCATCTACTGCATTCTTTTCCCTATTCTATTACTCTTGTTTCTTTGTCAGACAAAAAAAGTGAACTACCTCATACGCGTTGTTCTTCGTTTCCTTTGGCTATTTTGAACCTTTGTTTTCCCTAATTTATTAGTTTGGTTTTAATTTACACTGGTGCTGTCGTTTTTGCTTCCTGGTGAGCATATTGGTTTTATAGTTCACTTTCATTTGTTGTTCTTTAATTGTTCAGATATTTCAGAATTGCTATCATGCTACTTTGTTTTTTATTTCTTCCTTGCTTCTCTGTTTTCTAATGCACTGGTTCGACCGCTTTTACTTTTTTGTCTGCCCCTTCTAAATTATTATCACCAAATTAGCTTCTCTTTTTCTGTCCCCTTTTTTTTCACCTTTTCTTATTACCTCTTACATGATTGTGATTTCTTTGATAGTTTCTGCTGTTTTTCACTTCTGCGGTGTTGAGCTTCTTCGTCTTCACAGGTTAGTTATTCTGATTTTGTTCTTCTTTTGCTCTTTTCTCTATATTTTATCCTTAATTTGTGCATCTTTGGCATGCATTTTGTGATGCATCGGTACTTATGGCCTGCTCCAGTTTTACCTTTTTTTAGTTTGGGACTTTTTGACTTTCTGTACCTTTTGTGATCCTTATACTTGCATATACGAGTTATTCTATTGTTTCTGGTGCTATGTTTACGTGCCTGATTATTTTTTATGTGAACATTTGTTCTTTGCTCAGCTGTCGGCTATTAACTCCTTTAGCTCCTTGCTGTTCATTTGTTTTTTTGCCTGCTCTGGTTTCTGCCAGCTTTCGATTTACATTCTTTTTTGCTAAGTTGGATATTCCTTTCTTTATATAGCCCTTCGACATTTTGCGCTCTTAGTAAAAAATGAATGGATAGAAATGCTACACGCAGCAAAAAGTATGCAGAAATGCCACCTTCGAAAAAAATGGAACTCCTGCAATGTCGAAAAGAAAATAGAGCTGCCAAGAAAAAGAATGCGCATTTACTCCCACGTGTTCGTAAGGTTCCACTTGGTTATATAGAATCGGGTGTTTCTTCCCTGATTCGCATCATGAAAAACTTGATGGTGCGAATCACTCTTCTATGCATAGTGAAATGTTAGGAGGTGAAGCCTTGAAAAGCGGCCATGACAGTGCCGATGTCGTTACTGAGGCATTGCAATATATGTCCTCTCGCGAGTCTGCTCCTTTTGTTCCTCACATTCATTTTGCTCCCTCTTCTGAGACAGCAAATGACGTGCCAAATGCAAGTATTCTTGCAGGTATAGTTGGCGATGTCCTTCTTTTGCTGCTTTCTTCTTGTCCAGCTCTTGGTTTTTAGACCGCTTTCGCTTCCCTACCTGTTGGTTGTTGATTCTACATTTCGATTCTTTGTAAATGAATGCATCTTCATTTACAATATGCAGAGTTTCCGCTTACTCCTAAGGCTGATCCTAGGAGCTGCAAAGGAAAATTTCTTCCAGAAAAAAGGAAAAATTTGAACCTTCCTTCTTCCACTATTGAGCCTGATTTCTGTGTACCTAGGAGAAAAATTAGAAACTCTATACCTGTAGCACTGCATGATTGACTAGACGATTGCTTTAATCGTTCTGATAGCGTCGTCCAAGCTCTCAACTTTGACAAAGAGGATTTGCTTATGAACAATCTTTTTGAAAATCTAGTTGAGTATTGTTCTTCAGCCCATGTTTCTGTGAACTCTGAAGAGCTTTATCCTCTCACAACTACAAGTGAGACAGGTCAATTTCTGCAACAAAAGGATGGATCTTTTAAGGAGCAAAATTCTATAATTAGATCTGCTTGCTCTGTTCCTGTGGTGTCGATTGACAAGCCCAATAGCTCTTCTCGCCTTTCTGAGAGCATCCTGCAACCTTCTTGCATAGGCAAAGATCCTCTACTTGCTCCTGAACTTTTTGAAAATGTTGTTGAGTACTTTTCTTTGCCCAAGATTCATATGAAATCTGGTCAACTGCAATCTCTCTTCACTGGTAGGCACCAAATATTTCGTTTTGGAAAAAATATGCCACCCTCTGAGAACCACACTTGTGAGATAGTTTCTGCTTCTCAAGGTATATTTTTTAAACAGCAACTATTCTCAACACAATCCTGTTGAGAATTCTTCAATTCCCACGCAAACTAATTGTGTTCGCTGAAATGACATTAGCCCCTTTTGGTTAGCTTATTTCTTAATACGGTTGCAGAAACCACCTCTGTTCAGGATAGACAATCTACCCATTCTATTGGAAAAAATGATTATGTGAGGAAAGCAACAACAATTTCCCACTCTTCTGGCTTCTCATGTAAAGTGCAACCTTCGACCCGAAACCGCTGTTCTCGTCGCCGTGTGAGAAAGCAAACTCCGAGTTGGCATTTTATTCTTCAATAGCTATTTCGGATATTTTAGATGCCATTGCTAATTAGCCTAATAGAGGCACAACTTAGTTCGCTTCTCAGCTATAGTTTAAAAATAAATGCAGCTGCACCTAAAAGAGGGAGGCAACGACGAATTTTTCCGATCAATGAAATCCCACACGAAGCTTTAACTCTTCCAGATACTCCTGATTGTGAGCACTGTGGAGCCAAGAGGTTCCATTTGGAACCTCCTAACTTTTCCTGCTCTGGAGGAGATATTTATATCGTGGCTCCGTCGATGCCTTATGATCTTAAACGCTTATTTATCGAAAATGATGAGGAAAGTGCTCATTTCAGAAACAATGTTCGGTCCTATAATAACAACTTGGGATTCACATCCTTCGCTGGAAAATATGATCATGAACTGACCAAGAACACGAAAGGTGTTTATACTTTCCGTGTTCAAGGTCAGGTCTACCATTTCCTTAATAGTTTGGTGCAGTCATATGAAAGACCTTCTGGAATTCAGTTTTACTTTTTTGATTCTGATGAAGAATTAGCAAAGAGGATTGGAAGTTCTGATAAGTTGCGTGAAAGCACTTTAAGATTGCTTATGTGAATCCTTTCAAACAATCCTTATGCTAAATTCTTTAAGAATCTCAGAAATGTCCCAAACATTGACACCTATAAAATTGTTTTGAATTGTTATCCCAGTTTGGACCAGCGTGTCTATAATCTGGCTACGGCCTCTCAAGTTGCTGCCATATGGACTGAGGATGACGATGAATCGACAGATAGAAATATTCATATTCAAGTTTATACCCACTCTAATACCAGCCATAGAATTAAGCATTACTATGGCTGCTATGATCATTTGCAGTACCCTATTCTCTTTCCTCAAGGTGAATGTGGATGGCACCATGGTGTTAAAAAACTTCGCAAGAGGAAGAGAAAGGCATATTCTTGTAAGGATGATTTAAATGTTGATCCTTCCTCTGTTGATAGCCCTTCACATTTACTCGATTTGGAACGCAGAGGCAAGTGTATTTCTTGCTATTTGAGGCTGTTAGGGTGAGCATCATAATTTTTTCATCATTAGTTTGACATTTTTTACTTCTTCTTTATAGCCGCTAAATATGGAAAGAATGAAGAGGACACTGTATCAGCTAGAGAATATTATTGTTATAGGTTTCAAATAAGAGACAGCGATGAGTCGATGTTGCTGCACTGTCTTAGACTTCTACAACAATTTTCAGTTGATTCCTATGTGAAGATAGAAACTTCTAGGCTGGACTTTCATAGACACCGATAAAATGTTGTCAGATCAGAACTTCTTCAAAGGGTATTGGATAGTGTCTCTCTAGGCCAAACTGAGGGTTCTAGAGTTGGTCATAGGATAGTGCTGCCCGCTTCCTTTATAGGTGGTCCCAGAGACATGAGGTGCTGCTATCTTGATGCAATGGAACTTGTACAAAAATATGAAAAATCGGACATTTTTCTTACCATGACCTGCAATCCCGCATGGAAAGAAATTCAATGCAATCTGAAGTATCATGAGAAGCCGCAGGATAGGCCTGATCTTTTAGCTAGAGTTTTTAGAGCTAAATTTGAAATGCTTAAATACGAACTCTTGAATAGGCAGATTTTTGGTGAGGTGGCAGCATGCGTCTATGTTATTGAGTTTCAAAAACGGGGATTTCCACATGCTCATTTGTTACTCATTTTGAAGCCTCAATTTAAGCTGCTCAATCCAGATTCATACGACAAGGTAGTCTGCGCTGAATTACCTGATCGCCTTCAGTATCCTCACCTCTACTCTCTTGTTGTAAAGCATATGATCCATGGTCCTTGTGGAGACATGGATAAAAGTTGCCCCTGTATGAAAGATGGTTCCTGCAAGAATCAATATCCAAAAATTTTTTGCCCTCATACAACCCATGGTGAAGATAGTTACCCATATTATAGAAGAAGGGATGATGGCAAGAAAGCGAAAGTTCGCAGATTCACCCTTGATAATAGGTGGGTTGTGCCTTACAACCCTTATCTTCTTGCTTTGTTCGATTGCCACATGAATGTGGAGATTTGTTCTACCATTAAACTGGTCAAGTACCTGTATAAGTATGTGTTCAAGGGACATGATCTGGTCTCTTTTAGGATTATGACGGATGATAGTGGTACTGATACTGACGAGATTAAAGAGTTCCAAAAAGGTAGATACATTTCACCTCAGGAAGCGTTTTGGCGCATCTATGAGTTCCGTTTAAATGAGATGACCCCATCTGTTTATACTCTCCAAGTTCACCTTCCAAATCAGCAGCTTGTTTCTTTTCCGAAAAACTCAGATTTGCTGCAGTTGTTAGCAAGAGTTGATTTTTCTAAGACCATGCTAACTGAGTTTTTCAAGATGAATGCAACCAATGCAACCGCTGAAAACCTGAAATGTTTTTTGTCGAAGATATTATCTCCTATGATTATGGGAGATATTATCTTCCATAATTATCTCCCATGATTATGAGAGATATTACCTCCCATGATTATGGGATTTTATTGCTTATGATCAATCAAGTTTGAATAGATAGGATATGAGTTGATTATGTAATCCCTAAAATCATGGTTCTATTACCTTAAGTGGTGGCAGAACTATGATAGGGTTGTCCTATAAATGCCTACCTTGTAAGCATATTTTAGGGTGTGGGAAAATAAAGAAAAGTAGAGTTTTTTGTTCATTTTCCTTTTCTTTTAAAATTTAAATGGTATCAGAGCTCCGGCTCTATACCAATTCCTGCCATGAACTACCGAATAGCCATGACTGGATCGACTGCTCACACAAGAGAAGACTCATCCTCGTCTTCAGTAGTTATCCAAACTACAGATTATTCCGCTTCAAATTCTTCTTCCCTACAAATAACCGTTCATAAATTAAATGGTTCCAATTATCTGGAATGGGTTCAATCCGTAAAACTGGCAATCGATGGCAGAGGTAAACTCGGCCACCTTACTGGAGAAATTCAACAACCAGCTACTGAAGATCCCAATTTGAAGAGATGGCATTCAGAGAACTCTCTAGTTATCGCTTGGTTGATAAACTCTATGGAACCAGCGATAGGAAAGGCACACTTATTTCTGCCCACAGCCAAGGATGTGTAGGACGCTATCCGGGATTTGTATTCCGATATAGAGAATTCATCTCAAATTTTCAATCTCAAGACGAAATTATGGAAATCAAGACAAGAAGATAGAGATGTTACAACCTATTACAATCAGATGATAACTTTATGGCAGGAATTGGATCTTTGTTATGAGGATGAATGGGACTGCCGTGCAGACAGTGTTCGATACAAGAAACGGGAGGAGAACGACAGAGTCTATGTCTTCTTGGCCGGACTAAATCAAGAACTTGATGAGGTGCGAGGTCGTATTTTGGGCAGGAAGCCTCTCCCCTCCATTCGTGAAGTATTTTCTGAAGTCAGAAGAGAAGAATCAAGGCGTAAGGTGATGCTAAAGTCCAAGGCAGAGGATGAAGTTGAGACTTCAGCATTGGTTTCTAAGGGGACAGATTTGGACGGAGATAAAAGAAGGAAGCCTTGGTGTGAACACTGTAAAAAGTCGTGGCACACAAAGGACACTGCTAGAAATTACATGGGAAACCATCGAATTTCAAGAAGAAAAATGGATGTGATAGCAAGGTGTTGCAGACTGTGAATGAGGATTCTCAAAAGAAACAAACTGACTCTGAGACACCAGCCTTCACAAAGGAACAATTAAGCCAACTGTACAAACTCTTTAAGTCTCCACAATTTTCAGTCACTGAGCCAAAAAGCTTCACTCCTTTCTGTTCTTTTGCTAAAAATGGTAATCATTTTACTATTGCTCTTTTATGTAAAACATCAAATGCATCTTGTCCACAGATTGTATGGGTTATTGATTCTGGGGCCACTGACCATATGACTAGTTCGTCACAATTATTTTCTACCTACAGTCCATGTGCAGGGAATAAAAGGGTCAAGGTTGCTGACGGATCATTATCCGTCATAGCTGGCACAGGTTCCGTTGTCATCTCTCCTACTATAACACTTCATAGAGTTCTTCATGTTCCAAAGTTATCATGCAATTTGCTGTCCATAAGTAAATTAACTAGGGATCTCAAGTGTCGGATTAATTTTTTCCCCTCTTTTTGTGAGTTTCAAGAACTGACCACGGGGAGGATGATTGGATGTGCTGGAGAAAATGGGGGACTTTACTTCCTTGAAGATGGATCGAATACGACAACACCAATCAAAAACACATGTTACGGGTCTGTCTCTATTACTAGTAATAAAGACATTATGTTATGGTACTTTAGACTAGGACATCCTAGTTTTTATTACATGAAATACTTATTTCCAGATTTGTTTAAGAATAAAGATTCATCTTCCTTTCAATGTGAAATCTGCGAATTGACTAAACATCATCGGTCTACATTTTCTATACATCCTTATCAACCCTCAAAACCGTTTTTTCTATTACATACTGATGTTTGGGGTCCTTCTAGAATTTCAACTTCATTTGGAAAAAAATGGTTTGTTACATTCATCGATGATCACACAAGAGTTTGTTGGGTGTATTTGTTAAGAGAGAAATCAGAGGTTGCAAGTGTGTTTAAAAAATTCTACAGCATGGTTTTGACACAATTTCAAGAAAACATCAAAATTGTTCGGAGTGACAATGGAAAAGAATATTTCAATAAAATTTTGGGAAGTTTTTTTCTTGAAAAAGGGATTGTGCATCAAAGCTCCTGCAATGATACCCCGCAACAGAATGGGGTAGCTGAAAGAAAAAATAAACATCTTTTAGAAGTGGCGAGGGCATTACTTTTTTCAAGAAATGTTCCTAAATATCTATGGGGCGAAGCAATTTTAACTGCTACATATCTCATAAACAGAATGCCCTCAAGAACCTTGAATTTCCAAGCTCCTCTAAATTTTTTCAAAATAATTTATCCCATGTCTCGATTAACATATGAAGTCTCATTAAAGGTGTTTGGGTGCATAGCCTTTGTTCACAATCATGAACAAGGTCGAACCAAGTTAGACCCTCGAGCAAGAAAATGCATTTTTGTTGGATATGCACCCACGCAAAAGGGGTATAAATGCTTTGACCCCATTTCGAAACAAATGTTTGTAACCATGGATGTAATATTTTTCGAAGAGAAACCTTTCTTTGGAGATCCTCTTCAGGGGGGGACTCGGCATGTAGAAGAACTTGTAGAAGATGATGATGTTTTTCGTATTGAAAATCAAATTCCTAATCAAAATTTTTCTGATTTTTTAGAAGAATCTACAGCACAATTTCCTCAACAAGAATCTTTTCAAGATAATAATCCTGAAAAATCAAATGACACTCTTCAATTTGCCCGTCAAAAGGATTTTGAAAAACGTGAAAAAATTGATCAGGGATTAGAAGAGGATCTTTTGTCTTTAGTGCCAATAACAGAGTCGAATTCTCTTAGTGAAAGAGATGGGAATGTAACTGAAAAAACCCTGAAAACCTATGTCAGGAAAAATCATTGAGGAAAAGATAAAGCTCCCCCTTCTCTTCACAACAAGGAATCCGAACCTAGGGCAGAATTTGATGTTTTTGAGTCATCAGATAAAGTTTCCTCTGATTCAAAGATTGCTGATTTGGATCTTCCTATTGCACTTCGAAAGGGAATGCGTTCTTGTACCAAACACCCTATGACTAACTATGTCTCTTATGAAAAGTTATCCCCTACTTTCTTGACATTTACTTCACAACTTTCTTCTATGGAAATTCCAAAGAATGTACAGGAAGCATTACAAGTTCCAGAGTGGAGAAAGGCTATTGAAGAAGAGATGTATGCTCTTGAGAAGAATCAAACATGGGAAGTAACAAACCTGCCACAAGGGAAAAAGACAGTAGGGTGTAAATGGGTCTTTACCATCAAGTATAATTCCGATGGGACATTGGAACGGTACAAAGCTCGATTGGTGGCTAAAGGATTTACTCAAACCTACGGGATCGATTATCTTGAAACTTTTGCTCCAGTGGCAAAATTAAACACTATTAGGGTGCTTCTCTCAATAGCAGTAAACCTTGATTGGCCATTCCAACAACTTGATGTCAAAAATGCATTTTTAAATGGTGATCTGGAGGAAGAGGTGTACATGGATTCTCCCCCTGGATTTGAAGGGAAGTTTCAGTCTAGAGTTTGCAAGCTAAAAAAATCGTTATATGATCTCAAAAAATCTCCTAGGGCCTGGTTTGAAAAATTTACTAGGTCGGTAAAGGATCAAGGCTATACCCAAGCTCAGAGTGATCACACCATGTTTGTTAAACACTCCAAGGACGGGAAGATAGCAGTACTCATTGTATACGTGGATAATATCATCCTCACAGAAGATGACTTAATTGAGATGGAACGGCTGAAGAAAAGTCTTGCTTCTAGCTTTGAAATTAAAGATTTGGGAACACTACGATATTTCTTAGGGATGGAGGTAGCTCGGTCCAAGAAGGGCATGGTTGTGTCCCAACGCAAGTATGTTTTGGATCTTTTAAAGGAAACAGGGATGAGTGGATGTCGACTTGCAGACACTCCTATGGATCCGAATCACAAGTTAGCAGATATAAAAGATGGAACACCAGTTGATACTGCTCGATACCAAAAGTTAGTAGGCAAGCTAATTTACTTGGCTCACACTCGTCCTGATATAGCTTTTTCAGTGAGTGTTGTGAGCCAGTTTATGCATTCTCCATATGAAGAGCACCTTGATGCAGTATATCAAATTCTGAGGTACTTAAAAAGTACTCCAGGAAAGGGATTGTTCTTTAAAAGAGGAGATCGAAAGACCATTGAAACTTATACAGATGCTGATTGGGCAGGATCAGTCATTGATAGAAGATCAACCTTGGGGTATTGTACCTTTGTATGGGGCAATTTGGTTACTTGGAGAAGTAAGAAACAAAGTGTTGTAGCTCGTAGTAGTGCAAAGGCAGAGTACCGAGCTATGGCTCATGGTATGTGTGAGATGTTATGGCTGAAGAGAGTTTTAGAGGAGCTAAAAAGACCTATTGAACTACCAATGAGGCTTTATTGTGATAACCGGGGGGCAATTAGCATAGCTCATAATCCTGTGCAACATGATAGAACCAAACATATTGAGATTGACCGCCACTTCATAAAAGAGAAACTTGAAGGAGGAATTATCTGCATGCCATTCGTTCCATCAGCTCAGCAGATAGCTGACATTCTCACCAAAGGACTCCTCAGACCAAACTTTGAACTTCTTACAAGCAAGTTGGACATGATAAATATATATGCACCAACTTGAGGGGGGGGTGTCGAAGATATTATCTCCTATGATTATGGGAGATATTATCTTCCATAATTATCTCCCATGATTATGAGAGATATTACCTCCCATGATTATGGGATTTTATTGCTTATGATCAATCAAGTTTGAATAGATAGGATATGAGTTGATTATGTAATCCCTAAAATCATGGTTCTAT